CGTCATGCCCACCGCCACTGCCGGCGTCTTTTGCAACGCGCCGCCCGGCAGCCGCAGTTTCACGCGGCACGCGACACCGCCGCTGCTGCAGTGGGGCTTCGTGAAGCTCGTCGAGGACGACACCACGTCGGACACCGAGGGCGGCCGATCGTCCTCGGCGGGCCCAGATCGGCCACGCGGCGCGGCGTCGGCGCTCCCGGATGCCACGGCAGCCGCCTCCTCCTCTTCGTGGTGGCCGCCGCCACGGTCTGCGACGGGGATGCACCCGCCGCCCTCTACGGGGTACCCGCGCTCTTTTGCAGAGACGTCAGAAGTCCCGCCGCCGCCGCCGCGCAGCGCAGAGTCCGGCATCGCGATGCATGCGGTTGGCAAGTCGGGCCGGGACGGCGTGTCCGCGCAGCCGGCGAGCGGGAGGTCGCCTGAGCAGAGCGGGAGCATCATTGCAGGCAGCTTGAGTGGAGACAGCACTGACGGAGAGAGTTCTCCCCCCGCAGAGCGTCGGCAGCGAGGCGTCGGCAGCCTCCGACGCGGCGCTCTCGTCAACGACGCCCCTGCCGGGAGGTGCAACAGCCGCGGCGGCTCACGGAGTCGAGCGAACGGCGGCGACGGCGGCGGGGGTGGCTGGGGCGGGCACTCGAGCGCCGCTGAGGGAGAGCGCCTTCCCCGCGACACCGACGCAAGGCGCGCGCTGACCGAGGCGTTCGGGGGAGGCGAGCCCGCGGAGCGGGGCTGTGCCTCCACCTTTCCCTCGCCAACGCAGAGTGAGGGCGCGCTTGCGGCGACGCTCCTGGCACAGACGCCGCCGCAGAGTGAGGCGGCAGTCGCAGGGGCAAGGCTAGCGAGCCCACCCGGTGCCGACCCGCTCTGCGTGCAGACGACAGACAGAATGGACCAGCGTGAGGGCCAACCTGCCGGATCGTCCGATTTGAGCCGATGCTCTGCTGGGTCGACCAACGCGACTGGCGGTGAGTGCGAATCGGGCCGGTGGAGCCAGCCCGCGTCGCCAGGGACGCCGCTCACGCCGCCTCACGGAAACCCTCACTACACTGTGGTGGCTGGGATGAAGTCTCCCTTTGGCAAAGCCTTTGCGAATGGGAGCTGACGCGTACGTTTTTGTGGGATGTCTGAGTCGTCTGAGTCTGAGAGTGCGGTAGGAGAAAAAGGGTCAGTGCTAAGCAGAAACGAAGCGGTTGTGCAGGAAAGAAAAACGAGAGCCGTCGAAAAAAGAATTACGGGCGCGCGATGTAACATGTATGTATGTGACTGACAGACCTGATCATCAATTTGCTTGAGTAGCCAAAGCATCCCGCGCTCCTTTAAATTCATTAGAGCACGACTTCGATGACACTGTCCGTCCAAATAACCAGGCACAAAGCGACCCGTTGCTTGGGCTGCGCCCCTTGTTCCCAGCATTGTTGTTCAGATGCACCGCGTACGAGCGCCGAAGCGCAGGTCTAAGGTGTGGGAAAGAGCCTTCGTCCATACAAGCCCGCGTCCTTCGCCCTGCAGCCAGCGGTTGAAACACGTGCGCGGGTAGTATTGTCAGCCCCTGGGTGTCCCATTCCCCACGATGAGTGACGCGCGTGATGAGCATAGGACCGTATAGACCAAATCTTGGACCAGGTGTTGAGCCTACTACTGGGTATATGCGTACGAACTCTTGGATACAGGCCCTGATCCAAGGATGTCTAGGGGGGGTGCCCATGATTGCGCCATTTATCCGATGATGTGCCAGTTTCGCATGGATATTGCCCTCGTCAGGCCCTGTCTGGAAGCCAATGAACCCGCTGTCCAGCCATGCATGCGGCAGCGGTTTCATCAACACGATATCCCAGTCGGTATAGAAGCCTCCGAAGCGATATAGCAGGACATAGCGGATTAGATCGCTGGAATGAATGGGCCACAATTTGTATCGCATCCTCTCGTTTTCGACGTGAGCTCCACTATCACCAGTAGCAAACGCCTCATCGAGTGATCGATCTCTGGCAAAATCAGGGAGGCGCGTGAGAAACGCAAGCGCCTCTTGCGTCGACGTGTTTGCCGTCTCATATTCTCCGATGACGTTGCGCAACTGGGAGACGATATCAAAGGGCTGGATAACAAAACGCGTATTGAGCTCGCTCTGCACCCTGCTCAAGTCGCGACTAAAATTTGCGGGCAGCCAGCCGGGTGTTTCCCCTTGCGGCGGCGTGTACGCAACGTGGATTGTCAGCTGCGTATCGCGCATCAGGCACGCCCAGCTGCGGAGCACCGCCTCGCCTGTTGATTCTAGCCGTGTGGGCGGTGTCGTGAGCGCGAGGTGGACCACGCTCCGGCAGGCGCCCGGCCTGCATCGTTGCGATGAAGCGAACGACTGAGCGCCACCCACCTGAATTTACGTGCGGAGTTTCAGCCTACCTTGCACCGACTATATGGGCTCAGCCGTCGCGCTCACCGGGATCGCGGCCGCGTCGGGCACGAAGACGTAGTTTCTAAATCCGAGGCGGGGCATGGCACCGACGAGTGGCTTGGCCCGCCCCTGGCAGGCTTTGACGCCCTGTTTCCACGTGTAGGGATGACTCGCGTTCGTATTTCCGGTCGTTGCGCATCTGTTTAGCCAGCTGCCGGGCACGTGACAGCAGGAGGTGGTCGACGTCTTCTGGTTGAGCCCGCAGTTGGCACATGTCAGGTTGCCCTGGGCGTCTGCTCGCGCCGCCAAGGCGTGATGCTGTAGCAGCGGGCGCGCTGCTGCTGCCTGGCCTCGCACGGCGGCGACGTGCGGCGGGGTCGCCGTGCTCGTCAAGGCGTCGTCTCGCTGGGCCGCCGCGTGCATCGGGGTCGCGTTCAACGCGGAGGCGAGCAGAACACCCAGTGATGACCATCGAGACATGCTTCTATTTTTGTTCACCCCTTTCCCCCCCCCCCCCCCCACCCTGAATCTCGCTATCGTGCTACGGCGGCACAAGTCGAGCTGTGAACACGCGGTGTGAACGAGCCGGACTGGCACTGCAAAGGCGACGGCTCTTAGAAGCCGTCGCCCTCACAGATGCCGTCCTCCTCACAGAAGGCGTCGTCGGAATGGTAGTCAGGCGGATCCGCGAGCACCGTGGTGCTCGCCGAAAAGACCATCCCCCTCGTCCTCCCACTCCCTCCCCCCCTCCCCCCCCCGTCGCCCCCGCCGCGCCTCCAGCCGGCGCTTGCTGTGGGACCCCCCGCCCCCCCCGCCAGCGCCGCGGGCCGGGCCGCGCCGCACAGAACCCCTCCAGAACCCTACTCGTCCACATACAGGGTGTGAGAGCCGGCGACATACACGTCGGGAAACGCGCACTTGCGGTTGGCGCTGCGGAGGAAGTCCTCCTGAGAGTGCACTGGGGACCCGTCGAGGGTCGTCCGCAGAGCATCGGCTTGGTCCGCGGCGAGGAAGGTGGCTGCCAGCGCCGATGGTGACGCAAACGCACCAGGGGCCGTTCCCGCAGCACGACTGGTTCGAGAGTTGTTGTCGACGCCGAGACGGTGGACAACTTCACGGCTTGCCTTCTCTGAAGTCTTACGGAGAGAGAGTTGAGAGAGAGATTTTGAGGAGGCAAATGGTCTACAATTCACAACGCTTCCAATATTGTGTACCAGAGAGGTAGGTGTGAGAGCTGTGGGAGCGGCCTCTTCAACTGAGCCAGTTGGTTAGAGGCGTGTGTGTGTGTGTGAGTGGTAGCTACTTTCAACGATCGGCGTCGTGTTGCTCCTAACACTACAAGTACCCGTCGCAAAACACTTGCCGTTTGCGTCGCTGGCACCAGACGCCCTGGAGGGCGGGGCCCGGCGCCACATGGCGCCGGCCAAACCGTCTAGTTTCAATTACATTAGTTAGTACTGGTGTCGGCCGTGGCCCTGAACTCCGTGGGCCGACATGCCCATGCTGGCTCTCTTATTCGCCACCTCTGTCGCCGCAGCCTCCGTGCCCGACGCCGGGCTGACAGTGACACTCGACGGCGACGCGGGGAAGCCGATGCCGCTCGTCCTCGGCTTCGGAACGTGCTGCCGCAAGAGCGCAAAAGGGGGCGCGCCACTGATCGAGTCGACAACGCATTCCTCAAGGAGGGTGGGCGCTTGATCGACGAAGGACGACGGGGGTCGGCTCGGCCCCTCGGGCCTCGGGGGGGCGGAGCCCGGAGGTGAGCACGAGCAGCTGTGACAAGAGTCATGAAGACAATAATGGGAAAGGGGCCTGGGAGTTTTGTCACAAAACAATCAGCAGGTTTCGTATTCGCGTACTCGGGCACGCGCGTCGCGGATCGCTCGCGGGGTCGCTGAGGAGCTTTAGAAGCCCTGAAAGCAGGCCTCGTACGGAGGCATCCGGCGCAGCCCCGCCGCTGGCGCTCCCCCTCCCTGCACAGATTGCCAGATCGGGGAGACGAGCCGGAGCGGCGCCGGACGGGTCGAGTCACCTTCCCGGCCCTCGCTCTCACCCCCTCCGCCCCCCGCGGCGCCATCCCCGTCCTCCTCCTCAGGCCAGTCGAAGAGAGGAGCCCACTCTGGCGCACCGCCGTACGGAAAGGGCCTCGCCGCGCTTGGCTCCGCCGCCTCCCTCGCCTCGAGCGAGGGCCAGAAGGCGACCATCAGCGAGACGCGGGCGGCGCCGCCCCTCGCCCCGCGGCCGGGCACCACGCCTAGGAGAGGCCTCAGACGGGTCCGAGAGAGGGGAGCAAGGAGGGGCTCCTCGCCAAGGCAGCAGCGCCATGCAGCATCGATCCGCCGAAGAGGAGGAGCCGGTTGGCGCGCGGGAGGGCGGCGTAGCCTGCAGGAGGGCTCCGAAACGGGTGGGGGAAGGGCCTGGTTGCCGGGTGGCGCGGAGGAGGGGCGGGCGAGAGAGCCGGAGCTAGCGAGGGAGGAGCAGCGAGGCGTCTGGTCGGTGACGAGGGTGGGTCCGCCTGAGGACAATCAGTCAGCCAGTCAGTCTGACACACCTCCTAGCATGGAGGACGGGCCCACGCGCACACACACGCTGCACACGATTGGCTCGAGGGAGCCGACACGAGACACGCTGTCACCCGCCGTAGCACCGGGTCCGGACTGCTGGACACGCAGCACACAGCTCACAGACGGACAATCGACGGGTCCAATCAACCGTCAGAGGTTCCCACTCTCCTGAACGGCACTGGAGACAGTGAGGACGCGTCGAGACTGGGAGCAAATTCCGAGGCTAGATGGAGCGAGGGCGGGGAGGGGAGGACGAGGGTACAGGTTGGGAGGAGACTCGGGTGAGTGGTCAATGTATGAGGGCGCTCGGCCAAGCGAGGGATAGAGCCCGATCGACGAGTCCGTTCTTGGGTCCAGGCGTGTGGCCGGTGAGCTGCGGCCTCCGAGGCGCGTCTGTGCGCTCGCGATGAGGTTTGCTCGCCCTCCCTGGGACCCCGTGTTGCATGTCTGACTGCCGCTGGCCTGTCGTGGCATTTCGGCCCCCGGGGGAGGTGCATTTGTGTGAGTCGACGGGCGGCCCACCGGCGGACGAGGTGAGGAAGAGGGCGCACGAGACGAGCGGGTGCCGCGGCCCTCTGGCGCCGCGCCCCTCGTCCGCCGAGTCAAAGTGCATCTGCAGCGAGGGGCAGGCGATCTCGGCTGCACCTCGGCTGCACCTCGGCCGCACCTCGGCTGCACCTCGGCTGCACCTCGGCTGCACCTCGGCTGCATCTCGGCTGCATCTCGGCTACATCTCGGCCTGGTGCCCCGTGGCGTGCGGTCGGCAGTGCGCCCACCACTCTGCGTGACCCGCCTACAGGAAGGTGCTCAGAGGGTGTGTGGAAGGCGGGTGGGAATTGCCCATACCCTCTCGGCGCGACCCGCCTCGGCCTCCTCGGGCATCGCATCTCGGCTATCTCTCGGCTGGATCTCGGCGGAATCTCGGCGAGAACTTGCCTCGGCCACCTCGGGCATCGCCGCCGCGGCGAGCCGCTGCAGCCGCCGGATAGCGCGGTCGAGGCCGGAGGCGGGCGGGCCTACGAGACGTGGATAGGACATGTCCCGGTCATGTCCGGGACACGGCCCACAGCACAGGCCGAGGCGGGTGCTCGGCCTTCTGTCTGAATACGCGGAGCGAGGAAAATGTTACACGGAATACGCGTCCATTTTTGGGCCTCGTTTGGAATACGTATTCTGGAATACGTGTGGAATACGGAGTCCTGCGAATCCGGGCAGAAGACAGCCCTTTTGGAGGTCGTTTGGAAGACGTGGAATACGTATTCAGACAGTAGGGTGCGCGGCCTCGCAGCGAGTGCACGTACGAGAAGAAGGGCGAGGCGAGCCGGACGCCTTTGGCGGGAGAGATGGGGAGAGATGGGGAGAGATGGGGAGAGATGGGGAGAGATGGGGAGAGATGGAGAGACATATATGGCGAGGGGAGTCGTACGCATATGTGGCGGTGCGGCAGAGGTGCAGCCGAGATTGATCGAGATACAGCCGAGGCGCGGCCGAGGTGCAGCCGAGGTAGGAGAGGTGCGGCAAAGGTGCGGCCGAAGGACGCAGACACACCGTCGCAGATGTACCCGTGCGAGGCCCAGAAAGGGGAGGACGGGCCCAGTGCAGCTGCGAGCCTGCCCACCATTCCACGGGGCAGAGCGCCTGCCGATGCAGTGCAATGTGATCTTCACCTCGGCTGCATCGCAACTGCATCTCGGAGATGCACCTTAAATTGTGCCGTACGTACCTCGGCTGCATCTCGGTTGCACCTCTGCTACACCTTGCATCTCGGCTGCATCTCGGCTGCATCTCGGCTTCATCTCGCCTTCGAGGCACGCCACGAAGGCTCCTCCTCTAGCTCCTCCGCCGGGCGGTGGCACAGGCGGTGGCACGGGCCGGGCGAGGCAGTGCCACGCCATAGCCGCCGCACGGCCGGCGGCGCTCGGCGCGGCCTCCTCCTCCTCGTACCTCAGGCAGTGCGAGGCGAGGCGGTGCGAGTAGCCGCCGCGAGCGAGGAGCGTATCGAGTCCCGCCTCCGACGCCAGTCCCTCCTGGCAGAGGAGGAGCGCGAGCCGCTCCCTCGCGCTCCGCTGCAGGGGAGCATCGCCACGCGCGCAGGCGACGGCGCGGAGCAGCGCCCGAGCCACAACCAGCAGCTCGCCGCGACTCGTCGCCGCCTGGCGCGCCCTCAGCGCGGCATCGAGGAGCAGTCGGGCGGCGCGATGCTTGCCAGCGGCGCTCGTCAGCCTCGCCGCGCGAGCAGTGCAGGCGCGCAGCCGGGAGGTCCGGTCGGAGCGTGAGCGTGGACCGTCGAGCAGCGCGGCCCACCAATTTGAGCCCACGCCCATGTAGCCCAAAATGCGGAGCTGGCAATAGGACCGCGCAAGCGGCGTGGGGTGGAGCGGTTGTGCATATATACATCCCTCCGGGGCGGGGCCCCTCTGCGCCGGGGGACCACCCGTGAGGATCACACACCAGCAGTTTGAGAAATATCTGAGGCTGTGCTCTGCGAGCTGTGATCGCCCTCCGGACCACCCCTTGGACCACACATCTGAGCACCTCACCCCGCCCCGCCCCGCCGCCGCCTCGTGTGCAGGCGTTGCGGCGCGGGGGCTCGCGGAGCTATAGGAGAGAGCAGCCGGCGATCACGACGAGCAGGCGTTGCTGCGTGTCGCTCTTGACTTCGATCGACACGCTTCACGCGTGAGCCCAGCGCCGCACCAACGTGCGCAGTTGTGTGTGTATGGACTCGATTTCGGACGGAGTACCTTGGGCATGGGTAGAGGGTGGATGCGTGGATGGAAGGTATGGGGGAGTAACGTAAACTTTCTAAGACGTACTCGCCGATCCACCGCGGACGACACACTGGTCACTGGTCACTGCGATGGAGCATTCCGCGTCCGCCCAGGGCCCACACACGACGCAGCACTCATGACCGGACTCACTCGCGCCTCAGTCTGTAACGCTCTGGCGACGCATGCTCACACACCTCGCCGAACCACGCGGGCTGGCTCCAACAAGCTCCTCTAGTGCAGATGAGCCACTAAAAGCCGGTCGGCGTACAGAGCCCTCGATACCTCATTGCCCCGGCGCCCACGCCTCGATCTTCTTGGGTAGCAGCTGGTTCGACAGGTCCTCTCCGTGGCCTAGGCAGCCGTGTTCGCCCTTGCCCCAAGTAAAGACGGCGTCGTCAGCGGTGGTGGCGATGCTGTGCTTACCTCCAGCCGCCACAGCGACGACGCGCCGCCCCGCCAGCGTCTCGACGTTCTTGGGCAGCAGCTGGTCCTGCGGGTCGCCATGGCCCAACTGGCCGTCGCCTCCGAAGCCCCAACTCCAGACGGCACCTTCGGCGGTGGTGGCGATGCTTTGAGTGCTCCCAGCCGACACAGCGACGACGCGCTGGATGGCCAACGCGACGCGCTGGACGGCCAACGCCTCGACCTTCTTCGGTTCGAGATTGATGGTTCTGCTGGTCGCCGTGGCCCAGCTTGCCAAAGCCTCCATCGCCCCAGCTCCAGACAACGCCGTTGGCGGTGAGGGCGAAGCTCTGGCTGCTTCCAGCCGACACGCTGAGGGAGGGTGTATAGAGGATGTAGAGTGTAGAGCGCTGTAGAGCTCGTGTAGAGATGTAGACGGCGCTCTGGTGTCTGGATACTGGAGCGCTGAGAGCTGTAGAGCTCTACATCCGGCGCGGGACGAAGCGCCTCCGTTGTAGAGCGATGTAGAGCAACATTTTGCTGTAGAGTGTTGTAGAGGCTCTACAGCCAAACCGCCGGGAAGGAAGTCGGACTCAAAGAGGTCGAGCCGCGCTAATGGGGTGTCTCCGAGCTTACTGGAGCTCTGATGGACGGCCCTGACTATCCCTGGGACACACAGAGAGTCCCTCTGACGGCACACAACACCCTATAACTGCGTCATGACCAGCCTGCATGCGTCGCCGATTCGTCGCTGTGATTCTTTAGCAGGCAGTGGACTGTCGGCTGCGAGGACGGTCGCATTTGGACGGGTCGCTGCGCACGGCCATCGTGAGCAGCATGTCGGCGTACCCGTGCCCAGAGAAGACCTGGCGGCGGCGTGGCGCGGGGCTGGCGAGTGTCGAGTGAGGTGGCGCCCGAGGGCTAGGAGGAAGTCTAGGAGAGGGCTAGGAGAGGGCTAGGAGAGGTCCAGGACAGGTTTAGGAGAGGTCTATCTAGGAGAAGGTCGAGGAAAGGGCTAAGAAGAGGTCTAGGAAAGGGCTAGGAAAGGGCTAGGAGAGGTCTAGGAGAGGTCTAGGAAGAGGGCTAGGGAGAGGTCTAGGAAGAGGTCTAGTAGGAGTGCCGCCTGGCAGTTTGGCGCCAATCGCGTGCGTAGCCGGCGGAGCGACGCGTGCAGCTGCAGCGACGAGCCCTCGAAGAGGCGGCCACAGCCGCCGCAGAAGAGGGTGTCTCCCGTGATGGCGGCGTGAGGCGCCGCCGGCGCGGCCGACGAGGAGATCTGGAAGACTGCAGATCCAAGCGTGTGGCCAGGCACCTGAACCCCGAGAGGAGGCCGAGAGGAGGCCGAGAGGAGGCCGAGAGGAGGTCGAGACCTGAGAGAGGTCGAGACCTGGGCGCCCAGGATCGGCACCACCTTGATGCGCAGCTCGCGCGGCCCCATCACGGAAGGCAGCGTGCCGCCGATCTGCTCCGCCTGTGGCTCGTCCGGCCGCGTGTGCAGCACCAGCAGGTGGCCGAGCACGCGCTCGGCGAGCCAGGTGGAGAAGAGGCCGTACATGATGCGCAGCAGCGGGCCGTGCTCAGGGCACGGGCTGTTGCGCCGCCTGCTCGAGAGCGTCGAGATGTTCCACAGGTAGAGAGAGCAGGCTGGAGCCGAGCGATAGCAGGCCCCAGCGCCGGAGCGAGAGGGCCCAGATCGCGCTGACCGTCGCGCTGACGGCGGCACGGACGTAGGAAAATGAAACGGTCGACTCCCAAGAAACTGCCCGCGTACTCGTACTCGAGAACCAAAAATAAGAAATCGATGTCCCCTCTGTCTGACGCGGCAAGGGCTCCAAGGGCTCTGCCCAAGGGCTCTGCCCCCAAAGGGCGACGGCGCGGTGGGCACGGTCCCAAGGCTCAAGCATGCTCACTGTCTCCACGCACCAGCTCCACTCCTTCCTTCCGCCGGCCCCAAAGGACGAGATTTCCGTGCCGTTCAGCCCGGCAAGCACAATGGACGTCCAGTGGCTCAAAACCAAGATCTGCGGCGCCACCGGGCTCGCCCCGCAGCTTCAGCCTGCCCTGCGGCTCATGGCGTCCAGTGCGATGGTCCCCCTCGCCGACGACGGCGCGTCCGCCGTTGGAGTGATGGACATCTGGCTGAGATACGACGACGAGCGCGCCGGTGATGAGAAGACCTTGATCAACGGTTGCGCAGAGACGCTCGTTGTGGATGTGCTGACCGATGGCGGCGTCGAGGTGCTGATGAAGAAGGCCATCGATTTGACCGACGACACCACCTGCTCACTCCGCCTCACGTCCGGCATCCGCGCCTCTGTCGACCCGTCCCTCGTCCCGACCTCGCTCATCGTCGTCAACGGCCAGGCCTTAACGGTGTCGCCGGAGGAGACCATCGGGGCGCTGCAGGGGCGGTGCGCGGCCCTGCTCCGAGTGCCGGTCGAGCACCAGGCGCTCTTGGTGAGCAACGCTGATCGAGCACCAGGCGTCAGCAACGCTCGGGTCGACGACCACGGTGGCGCGCAGCACAAGCTGCTCGAGATCGCCGACCTGCGCCGCCGCATGGGCGGCGCCCTCACGCTCCTCGACCTCCGCAAGCCGGAGGACGCGGAGCGCGCCGGCCTCGCGCCGAAGGTCTCTTCTGCCGCCCCGAAGCCGGTACGGTCGTTCTTTAAGCCCGTCTCGACCAAGCCAATGCAGATCTTCGTCAAGACGCCGACCGGCAAGTCCATCACGCTTCGCATCGCGGCCTCTGACTCGATGAACTTCTTGAAGGCGCAGATCGAGGACAAGGAGGGCATCCCGCCCGACCAGCAGCGCCTGATCTTTGCGGGCAAGCAGCTCGAGGACGGCCACACCCTGTCGGACTACAACATCCAGGAGGAGTCGACCCTGCACCTTGTCCTCCACCTGCGCGGCGGCATGATGCACATCACGAGCGGCCGCCTCGACTACGAGGACCTCGCGAAGGTCAGGTGCCGGCTCGAGCTGCGCACCATCGACGGCGGCACGCTCGACACCATCGACATCACGGGCGCCACCACGTGTGCCGACGTCAAGGCGGCGGCGACGGCAGCGCTCGCCAAGGCGGCTCGCGACAAGGAGGTGGACGACATGAGCGAGGCGGACGCCAAGCGCCTCCTCAAGCAGATGCTGCAGCGGGGGCAGGCGGGCTCCTCCTCGGCCGCCCACGCGCCCGACGACGCCCCCAAGAAGCAGCGGCTCGGCGGCCCCCCCGCGTGAGCGGCGGGAGCGGGGTGCGCCGCCACCGCCACCGCCGACGCCGGCTCGCGGGCGCTCGCGGCGGCGGGCCTCTCTCTGCCGCATCTCAAGGCTGCGCTGCGTGCCGAGGAGGCGGCGCGCCTGTCGCCGTCGACGCAGGAGGCGTACGCTGCGGCGGAGGGCCGCGACGACAGCGACTGGCTCGACGTGACCGAGGAGCTACAGCGGCGCGTGCTCCGCGAGGCGGGAGTGCCACCGGTTCGGATGTCGGCGGCGCTCTTTGTCCTGCGCAGCGCGGCGCAGCTCTGGCCGCACGACGCAGAGCTGCGGCAGATCTCCCTGCAGGTGCGGCACAACCGCGCGGAGCGGGGTACCCTTCGCGACGGCGACGCGCTGCCGGATGTGCCGCTCTTTCCGCTGCGGCCCGGCGCCGCCGCCGCCGCCGCCGCCGCCGCCGCCGTCGGGCTCCGCGCCGCGTGCGCCGGCCCGGCGCCGACCCTCCTCGTCGCCGGCTCCTTCACCTGACCCCCGCTCCGCGGCCTGGCGCCCTCGCTCGCCTCCCTGTCTCGCGAGTTTGCCGGCCGCGCGCGCGTCCAGCTCGTGTACATTGCGGAGGCGCATGCGGCCGACGAGTGGCCGATCAACTCGTCCCGCTGCGCCGGGCCCGCCAACTCGGTGCTGCGCCCCACCAGCCTCGCGGAGCGGCGGGCCGTCGCCGAGCGCATGCTCGCCGCGCTGCCCTGCCTGGCGCCGCTCCCGCTCCTGGTGGACGGCCTCGACGACGCGCTGCTCCGCGCCCTGGCCGCGTGGCCCATCCGGCTGTACGGCGTGCGCGGCGGCGTGCTCGAGCGCATCGGCCGGCCGCACAATGCCTGTTTCGAGCTGCAGCCCTTCCGAGACTGGCTCCTGGAGGCGACCGCGTGAGCGGGGCGCGACGGCGCCGGAGCATCGACAGACCACCCCCCGTGGATGACGGCACGCCCAGCACGCTACGCGCAGTAGTACGGGCGCTGCCAGAGGGACGGACTGTCTGTCGATGTTACCAGCCGGGCCAGGGCGTTTCCATGTGCTGCGACATGTTACTGTACACGTGTGTACTCGCGAGAGAGCAACCGCTCGTGTGGAGTCTGGAGTGTGGAGAGCGTCGTCATGCTCATGGGATGTGTGGCTTCCTGTGGGCGCGGGCGCCGCTCACAAGAGAGAAGAGTAGAAGGAGATCGGCATTTCGGCATGTTATGTGTTTATGGGGGACATTCATACATCGAGATCTTTACGGGACACCAGTGGTAGCTTACCAGTAGATTTGTTGAGTGGAGATCGTAGATGCCGATCAGAGAGCGTTTTCCACAAGCTGGCAGAACGGGGAAAGGTTTGCCAAGCTCGAGATGTGCGAACGCTAGGCAAGGTTTGCCAAGCTCGAGATGTGTGCGAACGCTAGGCATCCTGACCCCCCCCCCCCCCAGCATGTTGTGGGCAATCAGCACTTAGCCAGTGCACTTACCCATACGACGACCCTTCGTGTGGCCGTACGCCTTGCACGCCTTGCAACACAATTCCTTGACCATCTCAAGCTCGCACGCCCCCGCAGCGCGGAGCTCCGTGCAGCTTGGCCCTGGCAGGCTGAGCTTCTTCGCCTCTTGCGCAAGGCGCTCATCGGGGGTGTCCGTGCACTCGAAGGGGTCGAGCTCCGCATGGCCGTCCGCCTCAAACAACATGCGCCCGTGTGGCTCGGGATCCGGCTCAGGCTCCGGCTCCCAATCGGGGCATGTGTGCTCTGGCAGGCCGGCCTCCGGCACTGGAGCCATCGCGCAGGGCAGGCTGGGCCGGGCCATGCACTCCGACTTCGGGTAGCAGCACTTGATCTACACGCCGGCCAGGATTACTCAACGAGGGGGGAGTCGAGAGGGGGGGGGGGGGGGGGGGGGCTGCGGGAGTGTGTGGCGTGCACCTCATAGTCTCCATTCAGCGGCTCGCCAATGTGTCCGCGGAGAATGAAGTGGTCCTCCTTCTCCGTCAGCATCGTCGGCGAGAGCAGCGGGTACGTCTTGTCGCCTCCGCACGTCCGGCACGGGAGGACCACGTGATCCACGCCGTTCTCATAGTTGTCTGCAATCACGAGGGCGTCGCGGCAGGTTGTCACCGATGTTTGTTGCTGCGTTGATGGTGTAGTTCTGGCGCTGGCGCCCTTCGGAACCGTCCACATCTTGGAGTTCAATCTCCAAGAAGCCGCCCTGCATCACGAGCTTGGTCTCGTGCACCGCGACGGGGCAGTCGTCCGCGGCGTTCTTGAGCGTGGAGAGCTGCGGCGTCATGAACGAGGTCTTCATGGAGGGCGCCTCCGTATAGTTGATTGTCGAGATGATTGCCCCCCAGAGACAGATGGCGAGGAGGAGGACCTGGAAGACGGCCAGCGCCGCGAGCAGCGACTTGGACAAGGATGTGGAGGGAACGGGGGCCTGCGAGTTCCTCTTGAGCTCGGCGACCTCCGCCTCTAGCTCGGCGATCCTCGCGCTGGCCTCGACGAGCTCCTGCCCCCCCATCTCGCAGTCCCCAACACGGCGGGCGAAATGTCGTTCCGAATTACCCAACGCGCGAGCCTGCGGAAATTTCTTTCCAGATCACCCGTTTTACGCTTACGACCACGCGTGCCGCAGGTGCTCGCTCTCTGGATCGACGTGCACGCTGCCTCGCAAAGGCTGCGCACGCCGTGGCACAGGTGCATGCATGAACTCACTGTCTGTCGAGGCGTTGTTGGTTTTCCGGCGTTATAAGTTATAAGGCAATATGGCCATACGATTTCCCTTGGCGACCTGTGATACTTCTTCTGCCGCCCCTTGCAATGCTTCTGCTTCACCCCTGGACCCGCTGTGTGCGGGGCGGGCTCCTGCACACAGGAAAGAAAGAAAAGAAAGATAACGGACATCCCAAGCAAGGGAGGGATGGGAGGACGGCACGCCGCCACCACACAGGGATTTTAATTAAGGAGAGGGGTGTGATGCGCTAGCCGTCGCCCACCTAGGGAAATAAATAAATAAATAAATACAACGGACATCCCAAGCTAGGGCTGGGTCGAGGACAGACACGTCCCCACCTTTGCAGGATTTTGCAAAAGCGAGGGGGGAGGGCGCATCGCCGCGCGGAGAGGGCCGCTGGGCACAGGGCACAGGGGATCTCTCTCGCATAGGATATGCACTCGGCGGCACGAGGGCAAGGCTGGGCGTCCTATGTTTGTGCTCCCCCCCGGACCCCTCGCTCTCGGGCACTAACCATCTGACCACTCATCGACGGGGCTTGGCCCTAGGGAAAAAGAAAAGAAAGAAAACACACAATCCAAGGGAGGGATGGGAGAACGGCACGCCGCCACCACACAGGGATTTTAAGGAGAGGAGAGTGTGATGCGCTAGCCGTCGCCCACCCTGGGGAGTCTGCCTCTTGGGAGTCTGCCTCTTGCTCGGTGTGTGAAATTCTTCTGCCAGCTTTTGGCGCGCGTGAGGCCGCCGTTTAGAGCCAGGTTGCCTCTCTCTCTGTCTCGTTTTCCCTCTCCTTCTTCGCCCATGGACACGCTCTTCGACGACACACTACTTGCGCCTGCCGCGGAGAGCACCCCGGAGGCCGCCACCGCCTACGAGGAGCTCGCCTGCTGCAACGTGTGCGGCGAGGGCGACTGGGAGGAGGACAACAAGATCATCTTTTGCGACTCCTGTGACCTGGCCGTCCACCAGGTGGGCGGCACGGTTGCACGGCGAGAGTCTCGAGGCTCCAGCTACACGAGCACAGCGCTCGCTAACGCCTCCGATGTCCGCAGGTATGCTACGGCGCGGGCGCACGCGTGATCCCAGAGGGCGACGCTCCGTGGTTCTGCGATATGTGCAAATTCTCGAAGCGGGCGGGCGGCAGCAGTCGGCGCGTCGAGCAGGAGTGCATCCTCTGCCCCGAGAAGGGCGGGGCGATGAAGAGGACAACTGACGGCCGGTGGGCGCACATCACATGCGCGCTGTGGGTGCCCAACGCGCAGTTCCTGGACGCTGAGGGGCGCGACGTGATCCACCCGTTCGCCATCCACGAGGACCGGCTCAAGCTCGTCTGCACCATCTGCGACAAGCGGATGGGCGCGTGCATCCAGTGCAAGGCGCCGCCTCGCTGCCTCACTCCTCCCCTGAGAGGTGTCATCACCGCTCGCCACATCTCGATCAGATTCGACCCTCTCTCGGCGTCAGGCGCCTCGCTGCCTCACCGCCTTCCACGCCACCTGCGCCCGAAAGCTGGGGTGGCACATGGTCGAAAAGGAGAAGAACGATTGGGTGCTGCTGGAGGCGCCTTCCGCTCGCCGCCCGCGCCTCCACACTCCCCACCCCACCCCCAGCGGCCGGCTCCACTCCCCACCCCACCGTGACCGCCCCCGTCGCCTCCCTCCCTGCCAGGCGCTCTGCGACAAGCACCGGCCAAAAGATGTGACGCAGCGCAAGAAGCGGCGCCGCCGCGAGTCAAAATGGTGAGAGGGATCGGAACACTAGCCGGTAGGAAGGCTTGCGAGAGTCACGAATCATTTTATTTTCTCTCCGCGTGTGCTTCTCTTGACATCTTGACAGTTGAGTCCGTCCAGCGAGCAGCGCGTGTCTTTGCGTTTATCTAGAGTAATCGCGCCGCGATATAACATACCTGTTTCCGGCCCCGGGTTTAACGTTTAGTTGAGCCAAGCATGGGTGATGTGAGCACAGCGGTTGAGCCGAGAGCGAGACAGTCAGGGAGGAGGGAGAAAAAACGAAGCTGAGCGAGACAGCGATCAGCGCCGCTGGGGCGGGGGGGCTCGGGAGAGCCACAACCCACATGCAGCAGCTGCTGCCCTGTGGCCCTAGCGCGCCTTGCCGCGGCAGACGCGCGAAAACTCGCTGGCAACGCAATGAAATGCGGCCACGGTGGCGTGCTGCTGTGCCGCCCCACGCACAAATGCCTCCGCAGCAGCGCCCTGGCGCGGGAGCGCGCCCAAATCCAAGCCCGGGTCGGCGAGGGCGGCCACCAACCAACCGTGTACCGCCGTGGGAGCGCTCTCGGCGATGACGCGCAACAACTCGATCTGATGGTCAACCAAGTTGGCTGGCGACGCCGAGGCGAGGCCCTGCACGCAATAGCGCAGCAGAGTCCCGCCGCTCCGCTGCAGGCAATGCGCAGCTGACTCGCGGTATAGGTTGGCGGCGTCAGTGCCTATACCCACAGGCGCACTCGTTAAGAGGCGCCGCTCACAGCTCGCGGTTCGAAATGCCGGCGTCGGCTCCCGAGAGGAAGAGGCAGAGGAAGGTGATGGCCGCGCGTGTATGCTGGAACTCCTGGCGTGCAACACGCCGAGATGTGGCTGAAGATGTTGCCGAGATGTGCTCAAGGTGGGTTTGGTGGGCCTGGTGCGCGACGCACGCCGCAGCGGCGTCGAATAATGACGCGACGCACGGCAGCGAGAGGAGCAGCTGCGGCCGAAAGACGAGGCAGCGGTGGCAGAGCTCGAAGAAGGCGCTGAGCAGCTCGGGCTCGGCCTCGGGCGCGGCGGTCGACGCGAGCCATCCGCAGACCGCGTCGACGAACCGCTCGAGTGTGTCGGAGAGAGGCGCCTCGTGCGACTCCCCGTACAGCTCAATGGCCTGAGCACAAAGGGGGGGGGGGGGGAGGGAGGGGGGGGGAAGGGTTGGAAACACTGCCTCTCACCGTCTCGTGCGGCTCCGCCCTGCTGCTCGGTCGCCTGCGTCAGGCACTCAAGCGCGCCAACCACCGGCCGGCGGCAGAATGTCGTGCCGATCTGCTCCAGAATCGACGGCAACAGAGGCGCGAGGCCGCCGCCAAGGCACCCCATCGCGCGACCGTGCAGCTCGAGCAGCGCCTGCAGCACGGACGGGCCTCCACGGCGCGACGCGTCCTGTTCACAGCTCGACCTGTGAAGAGACGCCGTTCACAGTAGCCGCGTGGCCCCCGCGGCGCGGCGCGTCCTGTAGCAGCGGCCAGCAGTAGGAGAGGACAGCGAAGACGGGGTGCGCCGCGCAGCTGCCGCCGCCGCCGACGTGGATCGTGTCGCTGAATCGGATGGCTGCGCCAATCAGCGCCAGCTGCGTCGCAACCGCCTCCTCCACGCCCTGGGTGCTGGCCGCGGTGGCGGACGCCTCCCCTCCGCTTCCTCGCGACCCGTCGCTGCCGTCGCTCGCGCGCGGGGCGGTCTCGGGCGGCACGGACGCGCCGTCAGAGGGAGGCAAGTGGGGCAGGAGGGCGGCGAGCTGCTCGCACGGCGCGCGGACGAGCGCGTGAAGCAGCTGCTCCGCCTCGGCAGGCGAGGGAGCGGCGCCGACCAGCCGCGCGAGCGCCTCCTGCAGCGTCAGCCGGACGCTGGACGCGAGGGCCGCCGATCCGGCGAGCGCCGTGCACGGACCGACCAACTCGGACAGATACGCCGCGCTCGCGAGCCTCCTTCGGCCATGGATGCACAGCGCTCGGAACGCTTCTGCGGCGTGCTCCGGCGCTCCTCCCGCCTGGACGGCCTCGAGCACCAGCCGGAGGCAGCCGCGAAGCAGCGCCTAAGGTAAGGTCAGGTAATTTCTCCACACCCACAAAGTGGTGGGGCAAGGGGGGGCGACCCTCGCATCTCCACACCCGGACACGGGCAGGAGCCCCACGGCATTCAAAGTGCAAGCACTGGCCCGGTGCACGTGGGTGAGCAGCCTGCCCCTCCCCCTCCCGACAAACCAGCTCCCGCACACACACAATCGCACTCTGGCGCCTCGTCCCGTTGCAGCCACTTGGCGAAGGCGCCCACGAGCCGCATGGCCGACTCGACGAGGAGCGTCGCGCCGCTCGGCCGCCACGCCGCCAGCTGGCCGAACACGAACCCGAGCAGCTGATTCAATGCAGCCTGTAGCTCTGCTGCCGCCGAGGGCCGCCCCTCGCCGTCGGCCGCGCTGCCGCGCAGCGCGCCCTTGATCTGGACGTGGAGGCCGCGGAGCACGAAGAGGGCCGCCTCGAGCTTCTGCCATGGCGGCGAGCCTTGCAGCATCGCCTGCGAGGCGGCAGAGGTGGCCGCTGCGGAGGCGGAGGCGGCGGCAGAGGCGGCTGCTGCTGCTGCGGCGGCGGCGGCGCATGCGGCGCGCTTGCAGGCGCGCCAGCGGGGCAACATGGGCAGAGCGGAGGCGCGGCGCGTGGCGGCAGCCAAGGCGCGGCGTCAGGGCAGAGGGGGGCCGAGTCGGAGGGCAACCTGGAGCTGGCCGACGAACTCGCACGCGAGGAGGGAGAGGCACGCGCCCAGCACCTCGAGAGCGGACTGCTCCCGGAACCGGCGAAACTCCTCCTCGTCCTCCGCGGCCTCGTCCCACGATGTGAAGTCCGCCGGCAAAGTGCACTTGTCGAGCAGCAGCGTCGCCAGCCGGCGGTACAGCGGCGCGCGCAGCCGCTCGTGCCGCTGCGCGACGGCCGTGTCCTGCAGCCCGACCCAAAAGTCGATCGACAGCTCCGCAACGCGCAGCTCGCCGCCCGCGCACAGCAGCAGCAGCTCCACGAGCGGGAGCAACGACCCTTCCGTCACGGCGACCAGATCGACGCACCGTTCCGCAAACGCGCACAGCGCGCGGCAAAAGTAGAAGAGCCGGTCGTCCGCCGGCTCGCCGCTCATCAAGAGCTCCGCCAGCCGCACCTCACGCGCGAGGACGCCGAACTGTGCCGCGACCGCCTCCGCCGCGTCGCGGGCGCCCCGCGGCGCGCTGGCAGGCAGCGGGCTGTTTGTGCTCGTGAGAAGCTCGCCGAGCGCGTCGGCAGCGGCGAGATTGAGCGGCTCGTTGTTGACGGCGGCGAGGGCATTGAGGGTGGCGGCGAGCAGGGGGCCTTGGCCGGCGTAGAGCGAGGCGAGGGACGATCCGGCGTTGAGCGCCAGCCAAGCCTGAAGCGCGCGCAAGCACCCGATGCACATGCTGGAAGAGAGTGGGGCGAGGGCCTGCAGCGCGCACAGCACAGCAGGGGCGAGAGCCCGCAGCCCGCTCCTGCCCGGCGAGGCGGCGCCAGTCGCCTCCTCCTCCGCCACCACCTCGTTTGCGAGTGCTCCCAGCAGCTCCACCGCAAGACCGCCCTGCACAGCGTCCGCCGCCGCCGCCAGCGAGAGGGCGAGGCGCGTGGACTCCTCGGCGAGGCCCTCCGTCCGCGCCGCTGCCGCCGCCAGCGCCAGGCATAGCCGCCGCGCCGCCGGCCCGGGCTGTCCCTCCCCGCCGGAGGGCCGGCCGCAAGCGGCGGACCAGAGTGCGTCGCGTAGCTGGCGACGAGGCGCGTCCGCGAGGGTGTGCCACTCGGTCTTGATCTTCGAGTAGAGCAGGTTTGCCGCGAAGAAGGCGACCTCCTCCGCCGCCTCGCTTGGCCGCACCAGCTCCTCGGCCGCCCCCCATGCCTCCGCCGTCTTTGCGAACCCCACGAGCCACTCGTTGGCAGCGCGGCGCTCAGCCTCGGAGGAGGAGGCAGTGAGGAGTGCGTAGGCCTGGCGAAGGTTTGTCGCATGCGCCATGCGCTCTCGCGGTGTGTTGTCCTGTGTCGCCGCCGCACCACCTGCGGCCAACATCGTGTGGCGGGTGAGCAGAGCAGGAGGAGAGGCCGCGAGGCGCCTCTCTCGTCGGCCCAGCCGGCATGCGTTCACGGGCGCGCTGCGACCGAGGCTGTGTGTGCGCGCGCGGCAAGGGTGGCGGCCCGAGCAAGGAGCGGTGGCGCTCCGAGCTGAGCTTGGAGCACGGGGATGCTCACCGGCGGCACCTCGGAGCGGAGTGGCACAGAAGAATTCTTATCGATCAACACTTTCGATAGACCGAAAGTAAGATCGTTCGGTGCAGAAACGCCGGCCATGCCCATGTAACGCACTTGTGCTCGCTTTTGGTTTAGAAGTGTCTCCAAGTCTTCTGGACCCATCGATGGCCGTCGCCTCGACGCCGCTCGTCGCGGCACCATCGTGCCCGGCCTGGGCGAAGCGTCGTCGCGGGTTCCCGCCGCAGTTCGACGGCAAGCCGTGCGAGCCTGCCGAGGAGGAGGACATGTGGCTGTGCAGAGCCGACGGCCGCGCGCGCAGCACCGCCGACCTGAAGCGCCTGGCGACCGCCGCTCGGGTGCGAGCGAAACGAGCAGGAGATGCAGCCGCCGCGAACACGCGCGATCGGCAGGCGCGCGACCAGCGCCGCCGGCAGCGTGAGCAGCACGACCGGCGCGCAGCGCCGGCGGTCGCCAAGACCGTGCGCCCACAACGCGGCCAGTGCGGCTGCCCGGCGCACGCGGTGTGCGGCATGTGCGTCGACCAGGGCAAGCTCGCCGCGGCCGAGCAGGCGGCCATCGACCTGGAGACGCGCTTCCACGCCTCGACGAACGTCGTCATGGACCTGGAGCGGCCCGAGGACGAGACGGCGGCGCTGCTGCAGCGCTGCGTGCACGTCTCCGACGAGACGAAGCGGCGGCTGCTGGGCGAGTGGAGCGACGAGCGCATGGCGCACGCGCTGCCGCTGCACGCATGCGCCTCGTGCGGCGTGCGCGACCCGTCGCTGACGTACACGCGGGTTGACGTGTCGGCGCTGCCGCGTACTGTGTCTGTGCGCGTAGCCGGCGGCGAAGACGAGACGCGGCACGGAGAGGGTGACGAGCAGATGCGCGACGCATCAGGCGCGCAGGACGACGGTGCAAGCATGTCCGAGGGTGAGTAGAAGTGTGTGGAGGTTTGGTAGGCTGTAGCGTCGTCGCGCGTAAGAAGAGTGGTGAAATTTAGAAAAGGAGTTGCGGTGTTGATCGCCGCGGGAGCCCTCTTATTGGCCAGCACACTGGCACGACAAGGGCGCGGCGGACTGGCGCGGACTACAGGAAAGAAAGAATTTTTCGCGGTAGAGGACAACAGGGCACCTGCACGAGCACGCCAGGGTCCCCAGGGATTCCCCTCTCGTATAGGACAAAGTTGCACCCGGCGGCACGGGCGCGGGCACGGGGCCTCCTTTGCGAAGAAAGAAAGAAAATGGAGCTCGGCTAGGGTTGCGCAGCGACAGGAGCGAGTTCGCGCTGCGCTGGCTCAGACGGCGAGTTCGCGCTGCGCTAGGCTCAGTACGGCGAGTTCGCGCTGTGCGGCCTGCACCGCTCTAGCAAGAGACTCTAGGCTCTCCTCTTGCGGAGATTTTATCTCTCGGCTGCGTTGGCTCGCCAATCTTGTTGTTCGACGATCCGGCACCAACTTGATTCGTAGATCGGCGTCTCACGGCCGGGCCGCGGGACGGGGAGGGAGGGGGGTCGATCCGTAAATCCGTAATTCCGTAAATTTGTAACGAAAAGCCACCAGGAGTCCCCCACCACACCCATCCACCAGTCGGCACGCAGGAAAGAATTCTTATTCGGCAGCACACTAGCACGACAAGGGCGCGGACTGGCGCGGACTACAGGAAAGAAAGAATTTTTCGCGCGTAGAGGACAACAGGGCACCTGCACGAGCATCAGGGACACAGGGGAACGGGAGTGGGGAGCGCATGTGCGCATCGCGACACGGAGGGGGGCTGGGCCGGGTTTTGGGCTCAACCAGGTTTTCCGGCAAACAAAAAGGAAAAGAGTGCGTCCCCAGCACTTTGCGTTTCCGGAAATTTCCAGGGAAAACAGAGGGTGTTTGGTGCTCCATTCTGGAAACTCGCGAGTTTCCCTGAGTCTGAGAGAGAGAGATTTTTATTAACCAACAAGAAATCACGACACTCACTCACTCACTCTCTGAGTCTGAGAGCTGGTCTGGGGCAAAATCTGAGGCAAAATTGAGGAAATCGACAAAATACCCAGGCGGTCGCAGGGTAATTTCCAGGTATACACGGGGTTCTCCGCGAAATTCCCGGCATTTTGCCGATTTGGCCTAAAATTTGGCTGATTTTGGGCCGAAACTCTAGCCTCAGACTCGGCTCAGAGCCAAAACTTTGACGATTTCCACGCAGTTTTCCCGGGAAAATAGAGAGGAAAAGAGAGGGTGCTGTAGAGAAAAAAGGAAAGGAAAACAGACGGGGTGCGAGAGGCAAACCTGGTTGAGCCCGGGTTCACTTGGCCTTTCCGAGGGTTTCCGGCAACCCAGAGGGAAACCAGAGGGTCCCCAGCACTTTGCGTTTCCGGAAGTTTCCAGGGAAACCAGAGGGTGTTTGGTGCTCCATTCTGTTTCTCTCGAGTTTCCCTCGGGAAACTCGCGAGTTTCCCTGAGTCTGAGAGCTGGTCTGGGGCAAAATCTGAGGCAAAATTGAGGAAATCGGCACGATACCCAGGTATTTTCCAGGTTTACCGGGGTTTTCCAGGTATACCCGCAAAATACCCGGTATTTTGCCGATTTTGGCCCCAAAACAGCCTCAGACACGGCTCAGAGCCCCCCCCAAAATGACGAATTCCACGGAGTTTCCCCGGGGTTTCCCGAGGAAACTAGAGGGTGTTGTAGGGAAACGAGCAGGAAACACGGAAAGGAAACCAGGTAGGGTGCGAGAGGAAACCCTCGGAAAGGCCAAGGGTTCACCCACACGACGGTCCCCAGGATTCCCCTCTCGTATAGGACAAAGTTGCACGGGCGCAGGCACGGGGCCTCCTTTGCGAAGAAAGAAAGAAAACAAAGAGAGAAAACAAAGTGCGGCTTGATTGCCTAATGAAGAAATTCGTGGAAACTTCCGATCTCACGGAGGAAGCTGACGAAGCTGGTGTGTGCTTTGAGCAATCGCACGATGGCGGTGTTCCTCTCCGACGAGGAGCTGGAGTCTTTCTCAAATACGAGGGGCTACTCGGTGCTTGTGGTGGGCGACGACGACCTCGCTCGCAAGCTCGTCCACGTTTTCGGCGTCGGGCGCGGCAGCCTCGTCGTCGCCAGCGACGGATCAGAGGGCCTCCGCTTCTTGACCTCGCCTTCACATGACCGATTCAGCCTCGTGGTCGTTGACCTAAACACGATTGATGGACTGCCGGCGGTACGCCACCTTCGCGACTACGAAGCCCATCAGGGGGGCTCCCGTGCTCGCGTTCTTGCCGTCTCGGCCAACGCGCGAATCCCGAACCTACGCGAGACGTGCCTCGAGGCTGGCTTCGACGATGTGCTACTCGTTCCAAAGCCGCTCCTCCCGTCACACGTCCAGCGGCTCCTGCCCGAGATGATGACGTGAGCAGGCTCGCAGACGCACGGCCTTCCCAACACACTAATATGCACGGACGCGTGCCCGATGTCCGTTGGGGTGGCTCGTGCCTCTCTGGGTGGCAATGACGACGCTTAGTGCCTGTATACTTGAGCATTCTCTGTGCTGTGCTACCCCTTATCTTTTGTGTGTGACGATATGGGGGAGAGTGCGGCGTGCATGCCGTAGTAGTGGAGTGCCGGATGGTTCCTCTGCGGTGGGTCTCGCTGCAGCGGAGAGCATGTGGTGGTGTGGTAGTGGTTCCTTTGCTTGTGGTTGTGCGTTGTTGTGCGTTTGTGATGTGCACAAGCGTGTGCGCATCGCGGTCACTTGGTGTGAGCTTAAGTGCAAAAGGTGGTCGTACACGAGTGGTCTCTCTATCCCCGCTCCCCCTTGCAGGTCATGCAAAACGGGCCCTGAGTGTCACCGAAACGCGTACACCGGCACATTGTCGGCCGATGCGCGGCTCGCCGCCCACCCCACGCGGTCCCTAGGTGTTATATAGCATAAACACCGTCCGTGCAAGGCTCCTAGGCCATCACTGGGTCCACAGTGGACGGACACACAGCCTCAGCCGGCCCGGCGGGCTCCCGACCAGAGCCCGTCCGGAGGCCACAAACGGACACTCTACCGACCTTTACACCCCTAGACAATCCACTCCGACTAGCATACGGTGTCGGCCCGACCGCCCTGCGGCACCTCGGGAGTCGGCACACAAAAAGAATTCTCCCAGCGAGGTTGCAGCGAGAATCGGCGAGAGACTGCGAAGAGAGATAGGAAGAGGCGGACGCCCAAGGGTGGGCGACGGCTAGCGCACCACACCCCTCTCCTTAAAATCCCTGTGTGGTGGCGGCGTGCCGTCCTAGGAGAGATCTCTACATACGAACAAGGCCACGAAAAAGGGTACACTCGACAGAGGGAACTGTCATCTGACATACAGCATGCCACCGCCTAGTCAATGCAGGGAATCTCGTACACCCCTTCGACCACGGGGTAGGGGAACCAGACCAAGAACTTCATCAGGAGGCCCGTGGGGGCGGGCTGCAGTGGGAGCTCGTCTTCGCCGCACGGCGCCCACTCTTCGGCCTCGTCGAGCGGGCGGCGGAGGACGCGGCAGTTGATCCCGCCCGCGCCGTCCTCCTCGAGGCGCACCTTGGACTGCACGGCGGTGTGCCTCCACTTCTCGTCGCCGACGACGCCGGGCAGCGTGTCGTACTCGAGGACGAAGGACTCGTTGGCGGCGCGCGCCTCTGCGAGCATGCGCCGCAGCTCGAGGCCGGGGACGGTGTACACCGGGAAGGGCAACCCTGCGGCCGCCGTCCAGTGCGGCACGTGCCTCCGGATCCTGTGCGAGCCAAACATGCGCATCACGGTCGGGTGGTACTCGTGGCCGATGTGCCCAAACGAGTGGAGCATGTCCCGGATGCCGGGCCGCAGCTCGTCCGTCACGTTGCACGGGTAGATCGCGTTGAGGTAGTCGCTCGAGCAGCTCGTGACGCGGACGACGCCGCCGCCAAACCCGTCCGTGCCGCGGCTCCACTCCCACTGCTGCAGCAGCGAGGTTGGCATGAGAAGGTGGTTAGAGCCGCCGTGCTCGCGGATGTGCGAGAAGGGGCTCGTCGCAGAGATGTCCATAAGTCCGAGCGTCTGCGCGCCAAACACGTAGAAGAGGACCGCCAGCACCCAAAATGCGCCGTTCGCGCGTAGGATGCTGCTGGCGAGCCCGCCGACGGCGCCCAGGCCGATGGGCCCCGCCTCCGCCCACGCGGCCGCGTGCCGCATGTCGAGCAGCACGACTCTCGCGCCGATGAGGCAGAGGATGGTCTGGGCGGGGATGCCCCAGTTGATCACGAGGCCCGGGTCGGAGGTGAGCGAGGCGGACCAGGCCGCGAGGGCGACGGAGGCGACCCGGAACGCGAGGCCGCTCGAGGTCCTCGGCGCGCTCACGGCCTCGGCCAGGGCCACCGTCCACGCCTCGGGCATGACAAAGAAGAGACGGGTGTAGCAAAACACACCGAAGAGCGGCACCGCGTTCGGGTGCGGAGTGATGCAGATCGCGTAGTGGAGCATGTTGGATAGCACGAAGCCGGCGCGGCGCATGGGCCGGCTGGGCAGGAGGAGGAGGACGCCGATGCTCATCTCTCCGATGATCGTCATCCACGGAGCACTCCCGAGAGCTGCGGTCACCAGCCACGGCGGGAGTAGGCCCTCCGGCGCGAAAGTGGCCAGTAGCGACGCGACGTAAATGGTGCCGCACGAGACGGTCGGGTCGAGGAAGCTGGTGTTCATCTTCCAGAAGCCGGCTCCGATGTAGAAGAGGCTGATCATGGTGCGCATGAGGTCCTTCGTCTGGTCAACGACGGCGGTGGCGGGACACAGCAGCAGCGTGACCACGCATGCGAGCTCGAGTGCGTTCGCCCAGTGGCAACTCTCCCAGATCATGGGCGACTGGACCACGAACATGGACACGCGCACAAGCATGGAGAGGCTGACGAGGAGCCGAGACGGCACTGCCAGGATGGCGAGCCAGAGAGCGCACTGCGCCCAGAACCAGACGGGCGTTTCGACGCACTCAGAAGGGAAGAAGCTTTCGCAGCCCGGCACGAGGAACATGTCGCCGTAGATGATGACAAACTCAGTGACCGCCCACAGCCGCGCGTAAGCTCGAAGGAGGTCATGCTGAGAAGGATGCGGCACGGCCTTGCTCGGTGCCATGCGCCGAGCTTTAGGCAGCGCCAGCTCTACGACTCGCAATCGATGGGGGTGCAGCTGAAAAAGAATTTCTGGGGCGCGAGGGCCGCCTCAACTGGAGTAGGGAAATTTGGATTTTGGTCAAACGCCTGCTGGGGGCAGCTTCGCGGAAGTATTCCGGAAGCCAGATGATCCCACTTGTCAACAGCAGGCGCCAGCGCCAATCAAATCTCCCTAGTGATGTTGACAACGGGCAAGTCGAGATGGGCAATCTGACCATGAGTCGTTCATCAGGGGATGAACTCCACGTAGTAGTTAATGGATTCCGATCGGCCAACCGTCTCGCGACAGAGCCACCGAAGAACAGTGGGAGGGCTTTACCGACCCGACTCGGCTGAGCCGTCGGTGCCCGCCGCCCCCGCACGCCCATAGGACGACGATGACGACAGCAGGAGCTCGGCGCGAGCCGATTTAACTCCTGCCCCATTGTTGTAAGGTGCGTATGGCTCGGAACGTGAAGCGATGTAGTAGCTCGAATTGGCGTGAACACCGGCTTGCTGCGCGGCGGGTCAACCCCATTATGCGCAGTCATCCGGAATTCACCCAATCGTTGAGCTGAGTTGCCCCGAGGACGGTAGGATGCCGTGTCAAGGCCCAGCTGGGCGCTAGGCGCCCTGCCGCACTGGCGCAGGGCGCGACGGCAGTGGCGGCGGTTTGTGCTGACGGCGGCAGCGTTTCGAAGCGGGAGCGACGGGCCACTGTCAGGACAAATCGTCGGGCGCCAGGCAAAATGCGGGCGCGCTGCCGCCGCGGCGCGAACGAGCCCGAGCGAGGCGCGCGCCAGCGCCGCTCGCCGAGCCGCCGTCGGCGGTAGCGGACCGCGCCAGAGACTGGCCGGCGAGCGAGCGCGGTCGACGAAGAGGTGAAGCGCTTGCGACAGCAGGATGAACTGGCGGGCCAGATCGTCGGGCGCCAGGCAATGCGGGCGCGCTGCCGCCGCGGCGCAGACGTCGGCGGCGAGGAGCTCGAGCGCCCCCAGCGTGTTAGCGAAGCGAAGCCAGCGTGCCATGGTTGCCGACGGCTCACCTATAGGTGTATATTACAGAGCCATCACCGAGGCTGGCTGGAATTTTAGAGCCATCACCTTGGGCTGGTCCGGTATTTGGGAGCCGGAGTCGTCACCCAGGTAGGAGCTCCGATGGAAGGTATTTTAAGGACAGTCACCCAGTCCGATGGAAGGTAGTTTATCGCCGTCACCCAGGCGCAGGATGCTTTACGCCGCATTCCCGGCGACCTTCCATGTGGGCCAGCTCCGTGGGCCAGCTCCGTGGGCCAGCCTCCGTGGGCCAGCTCCGTGGGCCAGCTCCGTGGGCCAGCTCCGGAAGGTAACCGTCTGCCCAAGGCGGTGCCTCTCTGCGTCCGTCGCGTTCGGCGCCGGTGCCAGTGAGCGTCCGCAGGTTCCTCGCGCGTCCGGCTGGCCGGTGCCGCGAGCGTCCCAAAGTGGTACCTTGCAGGCCCGGCTTCTAGGCGCCACAGCATTGGGCTTTAGGCGCCACAGCCTGACTGTGCAAGCTTCCGAGCAGACGGGTTTGGATGCTTTGCGCCGCATTCCTGGCGACCCGCCAAGAGCCTCCAGGGAGACGGCGGGTGGGTGGCTGAGCCGGCTCGGCTTCTAGGCGCCACAGCATTAGGCTTTAGGCGCCACAGCCTGAGCCCCGCCGGCGGTGAGGGTCCACCAGACGGGTACCAGCTGCCGGGGTGGCGACGGGGGGCACCGCCGCCAGGGCGGCGGGGCGCAGCGCAAAACCGCCACGCCGCCGCCGAGCATGCCGCAGCAGCGGACCGCGCCCAGCCTCTGGGCGCCACAGCATTGGGCTTTAGGCGCCCAGTCTGGGCCCCGCCGACGGTGAGGGGTCCGCCAGACGGGTGCCAGTTGCCGGGGCGGCGACGGGGTGCACTGCCGCCACGACCCGCCGAGATGCCTTGTCGCTATCAGGCGCAAAATCGCCACGCCGCCGCCGAGCATGCCGCAGCAGCGGACCGCGCCCAGCCTCTGGGCGCCACAGCATTAGGCTTTAGGCGCCACAGTCTGAGCCCCGCCGACGGTGAGAAGTCCACCAGGCGGGTGCCAGTCGCCGGGGCGGCGACGGGGTGCACTGCCGCCACGGCGGAGGGGCGCAACGCAAACCGCCACGCCGCTGCCGAGCGCGTCGTGGCTCGGCTGGCAGCGCGCGTCGCAGAGGGCAAGAGGCGAGCGCGCCCCACCGCAGCGAGAGGCGCTGTCGGGCCCACCAGAACAGGCGCCGGGACAGCGACAGGGCGCACCGCCGCACGGCGGCGGAGCGCAACGCGAGCCGTCCTCGCTAAAGACCGCCGCCTCCGCGGAGTCAGGCAGCACCGACCCAAGCCCCGCGATGAAGGCGATCATCAGCAGCGTGCGGAGGAAGTCCTCGCTAAAGACCCCCGCCTCCGCGGAGTCAGGCAGCACCGACCCAAGCCCCGCGATGAAGGCGATCATCAGCAGCGTGCGGAGGAAGTCCTCGCTAAAGACCGCCGCCTCCGCGGAGTCAGGCAGCACCGACCCAAGCCCCGCGATGAAGGCGATCATCAGCAGCGTGCGGAGGAAGTCCTCGCTAAAGACCGCCGCCTCCGCGGAGTCAGGCAGCACCGACCCAAGCCCCGCGATGAAGGCGATCATCAGCAGCGTGCGACCACACCGCCGCTGAGCGCGTCGTGGCAGCCGAAGGCGCCGCGGCTCGGCTGGCGACGCAAAGGAAGAGGCGAGCGCGCTTCACCGGCGGCGAGAGGCGCTGCCGGGCCCAGCAAATATGTGCGCCAGGACAGCGACGGGGCGCACCGCCGCCACGGCGGCAGGGCGCAACACGGAGCTGCCACGCCGCCGCCGAGCACGTCGCGGCGGCGAGCCGCGCCGCGGCTCGGCCGGCAGCGCGCGCCGCCGAGGGGTGGAGGCGGGCGCGCCCCACCGGCTGCGGGAGGGAGGACTGTCAGGCCCAACAGGTGGGCGCCAAGACAGCAACGGGGCGTACCGCCGCCACGGCGGCGGAGCGCAACGCAAGCCGCCACGCCGCCGCCGTCGAACGCGCACTGGCACAAGATCGCGCCGCGGCCCAGCCGGCAGCGCGCGTCGCCGAAGGGGAGAGGCGAGCGCGCCCCACCGACGGTGAGTGGCGCTGTCGGGCCCACCAAAACAGGCGCTGGGACAGCGACAGGGCGCACCGCCGCAACGGCGGCGGAGCACAACGCGAGCCGCCACGCCGCTGCTGATCGCGTCGTGGCAGCCACAGGCGCCGCGGCTCGGCCGGCGCGCGTGTCGCCAAAGGAAGAGGCGAGCGCGCTTCACCGGCGGCGAGAGGCGCTGCCGGGCCCAGCAGATATGTGCGCCAGGACAGCGACGGGGCGCACCGCCGCCACGGTGGCAGGGCGCAACGCAGAGCTGCCACGCCGCCGCTGAGCACGCCGCGGCGGCGAGCCGCGCCGCGGCTCGGCCGGCAGCGCGCGTCGCCGAGGGGAGAAGGCGAGTGCGCCCCACCGACGGCGGGAGGAACTATCAGGCCTTAGGACAGTAACGGGGCGTACCGCCGCCACGGCGGCGGAGCGCAACGAGAGCCGCCACGCCGCCGCCGAGCACGCCGCGGGAAGCTCGAACGGCGTGTCGTGCATGGCGCGGCGGGACGGATGATTTAACGCCTCACCCAGGCGGGGACTGAGAACAGTAGCGGGGCGCCGGGGGCGAGCAGGTAGAGGCGCTTATCCTCGACGCTGCGGCGGCCAGCGTCGCCGCGCAAGTAGGTCGCCGCATCGCGCGCCTCCTCCAGCCACTGCGGCCCCGCAACGTTGGGGGCGCAGAGCGAAGGGGGCAGCGCGCCCTCCAGCGCGAGCACGTAGTCCTTAAAATAGCTCGCCAGTAGTTGCGGGTTAGCACTCGGGGGGAGGCCGTACGCGGAGACAGCCGCTGGCGAGAAGGTAGGGCCGCGCGCGCAGCCGCCGCCGGCCTCGCCGCAGACGCCGCGGCGCTGGCTCGGCGAGGCGCCCCGCGCTGCGCATGAGCAGCATCCCCCGCCAGCGCGGCCGCGGCGGCGAGGCCCCCCACCGGGAGGAGATCGGGCTCTTTCACCTCCAGCGCCGCTGGCGACACATCGAGGCGGTCGATCGCCAGCTGTAGTGCAGCCGAAGAGGAGAAGGGGGCCGCGTCGAGGAGCCTGCACGTGAGCAGCTCGTTCAGGAAGCGAACCCACGCGGTTCCGGTGAGAGCGAGGTCCAGCGGGCAGACCATCGGGGCGGGAGTACCGGCGGGGGGCGCCGCGAGGCGCAGCCGCCGGCCAAAGACGCGCAGCATCGCGTGGTGCGCAAGCTGCACGCGCGCTGCTCCGCTCGGCGCAGCCGCAACCGGCCCCCAGCGGAGGACGGCAGTAGCCACCACCAGCGGGTGGGCAGCGGGGCCCTGGACGGGGGCGTCGGGCCCCGCGTGAACGCAGTGCAGATCAATCGGCGGTACTGCCGCGGCCATCGCGCCCGACAGGGGCCGAGCGCGGCTCGCAGAAGCTCTCTTTATTCCCTAGTTCAAGCAAAGAAGGGGAGGGAGAGAGCGACGCGGCGAGCGCAGGCGGCGAGCGTGCACGTCGCCTGTGCGGCGTCTTGTTCACTCCCCTTTGAGCTACCTTTGTGCCCCCTTAGGGGCACCCCTCCTGCGCTGCGCGTATGGTCACCCCTCCCTTCCGCCCTGTTGTTTTGGATGCCCCGCTCCGAGAAAGCATGTCTCGCAGCTGCGAGAAAAGACCTCTACGGAGGAGCCTCTCTCAGAGCACACTGGCACGACAAGGGCGCGGACTGGCGCGGACTGGCACACACACCGGCTCACTTTTAAGAAACTCCCTCGCACAACACTGGGCACGGGACTGGCGCGCACTGGCACTAACACACACAGGTACACCCACTGAAAAAGAATCTTACTGAAAAAGAAAAAGCCAAAAGAAAAGACGAGCTTGCTGTGTGTTGTGTGTTGT